ATATATATATATATATATGATGTTGTGTACTTTGAAGAAACCAGCGTGTGTTCAAAAAAGAGAGAGTTAGCAAAAGACTGAGAAGGATGAGAAAGAGTTATAGCATTCTGGATTGAAACAATCCAGATAGCGCCGACAGCAATTAAATCTTCATAAACCTTCGTGTTCGATTAACTACACGTACATAAAGAGCGAATGCTAAATATTTTCGATCCGCTATTTTTTTTTATGCTGATCTATTAATCTCTATACATAATTTGTAATTCAATATATATTTAAAGATCAGTATCCTTTGGAAAAGTCGGATACATCGATTATTTGAAAAATTAAAAGATACAATTTATTGATTTAAATCGAATTCTTGTTGAAAACGCATTCTTGTACGAATATCATTTAATAAAGAATCGAATTTTGAGAGAGATTTGGATCAATCAAAAAATATTGATATAATATTTCTGTACAGGGTCTCATGTAAATAAAATAAAGTACAGTAAAGTACTCCTTGTCAAAAAATATTGGTAATTCTGTTATAATTAAGTCTATATATATAGCATTTACATTTTTACAATAAAACGCTTGAAGAAATTTTATATTTGAGTCAAAATAAAATTTTCTTATGGCAACGAGTGTGCTTTCCGATTCTAATATAAATAAAGTGAATGTTATTTATATAATTTTTGGTTTCTTCTCATTATTCCAGTGTGTTATTCATGCGACAAATACTTCAACATGTCTATCGCTTTAGGGAAATACACCCGGTATTGGCATATTAAAAAATGGGATATCTCTAAAAAAACGATGCATTTTCGGAGATTTTGTCAAAGGAAAAAAATATCTATTTTTTGAAAATTCACGAGACACCCCTTGTTTTCTTATCTTAGCAAAGTCCATGTTCGCCAATTAATCTGATCCTCTCTCGACGATCGCTCTTGGACAGATTCGGGTCGTTTCGACGTAAGACGCTATATAGAAGATAAAGCAAGACAGCGTGTTTGTTGGCGTGTTTTACGACACTGTTACATACCTATGTTCCACGTCCCGGTTCTCCGATCGCAGCTAATCGCTCGCAACTATAGCTACGAACGTTTGCATCACGACTCTATCATAGACGTGAGAGACCTATGTAAGAAACGACACAGAAACCCGTATGAATCTCCCGTGTGTGTGTGTGCGTGTGTGTATGTGTATTCGGTTCGCCGCCGATCGTTGCATGCCACGGGCGCCGCGGAATCGGGAACGGAAAATCGATCGGTCATTTATATATGTATATGTATACGTGCTTGCATGTGTGCTTATATATGTGCATGTTCGTATCTTTCTCTGTGTACGTATTCGCAATGAAGGACGACGGGCGAATCATCGTCAAGAAACGGACCAGGGGATGTCTACTCAAAATCTTGTAAAAAAAATTCCTTCAAAATTCTCTGATTTTATTTTTGTAAATTTTAATGGATTAATGAGATTTTTAATTAAAATGTGCTTTTCTAACCTCTGCACTGTAAATATTGGAATAGATAGGGCTGGAAAGTTTTAAAAAATTTGCCAGCCATTGTCTCACTACTAATTGAAAATTTGTTAACATTCGGAAAGGTTATATATATGTATATGTATACGTGCTTGCATGTGTGCTTATATATGTGCATGTTCGTATCTTTCTCTGTGTACGTATTCGCAATGAAGGACGACGGGCGAATCATCGTCAAGAAACGGACCAGGGGATGTCTACTCAAAATCTTGTAAAAAAAATTCCCTCAAAATTCTCTGATTTTATTTTTGTACAAAATTCCAGGTAAAGAAAATATTTTAAAGATTTTTTGATGCAACTTTCTAAAATAATCTTTTTCATTGCACGCGTTTTCCAATGTTTTTCACTCATACCAAGGAAAAACGCGGAGCCTTTTAACTTTCAAGTGCTAGATTTGTAAATGTAGTAAAAAAAAAAAAAAAACTGAATTAGCTTTCGTAAGATAAGCATTTTTTACTTCCGTAAAATCTTAATTTTTTTATTACTAAAAGTTTCATCAATAAAGAATATGTACTACATATTTAATATTTTGTTAAAACATTGAATATATAAACAAAAATATATATATAATATATTTCAAATAAAGGTGAGGGAAGGCAATCAAGAGCCAGCGCGGTAATTTATGCGCAAATTTTATTATAATATATTTTAAACGCGTAATTTACTCGGCTTGCCAATTGTTTTCAATATGAGCAAAATTATCAAAGAGAGAATTTTTTAAAAAAATTCCCCGGGTTCCAATAAAATTTCATGAGAACTTCCTGATTTTTCCAAATACAAAATAAATCCCTGAGAATTTTAGATTTACAAGGTTTCTCCAGGGAGTAGACATCCTGCGGACGTATCAACGATTAACAAGTCGGATGCAGGAAAAGCTAGTAGTAGTAATCGAGTAGCGCGTGTCTTGTTCGAGATAGAATGATGGAGAAAATCGAACAAAACACTGCTTGATTTGCCTCTCTCTCGACTTTGCATATATTGGGTCTAATATTCGAGGGTATTTATTCGAAAGAGAAAAGCAAGCTGTGCGAGTTTTGCCTATCTCGTTCGAGAAAGATTAGTAGAAGAGGTAAACGGATAAAGCGACCGCGCGCTCTCGACTTCTGTTTCTCCATCGACTCTGTGCGTATTCGACGTGTATTAACGTGGAGTTTATGCACAGACCCCCAGTAAGGGGGATGGTAAGTCAAACAGCGAGTAATTTGCTTATCTTACTCGATAAAGGAGAAGATAAACGAGTAATGTGTGCTACTTGAATTGCTTCTCTATTAGCTTCGTACGCGCCCGCAAAGTTGTAATATCGGATTAACCGAGGGATTAAAAAGTCTGGGAGAGAAGTTTCTTACTTTGCTTTCGTATATTAACTTTTCGATAAGATAAAAAAAGCATTGTGCTATTCAAATTAATCCACCTTCCTACTGACTTCGTGTAAAAAGAGATTCGATATTAAACCGGGAATATAAATATACAAAGCTACAGTAGTACAAGAGACGGATCAAACAACGAGAGACAGTTACTCGCTTATCTTTTTTATTCTATCATGTTCTTCGAGGGGGAAATAAACGAGTAATTCGCTTTTCTCGACGTTCTGTATTCGCGACGTGACGCTCGATTTACTTCGGTATAACAAAAAGGGGCGGATGAAACCAAGCAGCAAATTATTCCCTTACCTTCCCTCTTTAGCTGAAAGCTAAAGCAAAGTAACCCGCCATTCATTTCGCTACTGGTTTCCTAACTTGTACTCGGACGAAGTCTCGTTTCGATTAATTGTCAGACGAGAGAAACGTCAAATGGGAGTCACGTCGATCGAATCCGATAGAAAGATTATTTTTATCGCGAAAAAGAACACGCGGACGTACATGACGTATTGCTTGTGTGTGTGAGAGAGAGAGAGAGAGAAAGAGAGAGACAGAACGAAAAAAAAAAATCGCGATAATTATCAATCTCGCCGTAAAAAAAAAAAAAAGTTCTCCGATTACCTCGATACGATCTTCATCGCGTATTTCAGAGCCCGGGGTAAAATGAAGACGCGATCGAATTTCGCGAAGAGATTCAAACTCGTTCGTTCTCCTATGACGCATTCGTACAGAATCCTGACGACACGGCGCATGCACCGGGAAAACCACCAGGCGTTCATCTCCGACGTATATCCGCGATATGTGTGTGACGTCGGAAACGCACCGGCTATATATACTCGTCATCGTTCGAACACGCACTCACCTGTAACTACAACGTTTGAGACACTCGCAGAACCCTGACTCTCGATCGCGATAAGGCGCGATAAGGCACGATGACGCGCGACCCTCGTGTCCCTCGCCGCGTCGCGGGGTTGATCCCCGACGATCAATCGGGGAGGCAGACTCGACGTGGGCCGAGCGTCGACGAGACGGCCCACGTTTTCCAAACGCGATGACCGAACGTCGCTGAAATAAATGGAGTTTGAAAATATCTAATGCTATCTAGTGCTTTTCTAGCCTCTGCACTGTAAATATTGGAATAGATAGCGCTGGAAAGTTTTAAAAAATTTGCCAGCCATTGTCTCACTACTAATTGAAAATTTGTTAACATTCGGAAAGGTTAAAGAAAGAGAGAGCGATAATGGTCGGATCTCTTTCTCTCTCGCACAGTTGAAGGAGAGAGGGGATATCGCGGCTAGCGGAGAATGAACAATTTGCGAGTATATAGCGGGGAGCACACACTTTTGCCGAGAGCGAGAGAGAGAGAGAGAGAACGATAGGCGCCCCACGTACTCGAATGATGAGGATCCCCCGAAGGGCGAATCGCACTGACGAGTTACGGTCGCGGAGTGTCGCGGACGGTCCCGAGAAACGCTCGAAGGGGGAAAAGAACGGGGGAAGGGGACGAGACGAGGATATCGCCACCGATACGAGGGGGGCACGAGTAAATTCTCCGTTGCACTTGGTCGCTTTTTCTCTACCCGCGCGACGTGGTATCGGGGCGGTAAAGGCGGACGGATCGATTCGCGGACTCGCGTGTCCGTCTCGTCTCGTCTCGTCGAGGAGAGCGATATCCTTAAACGCGACGGCCACCACCTCCCTCGCGCTCCACCTTCTCCTCTATACGTCGTTTCCGCCGCCGTTCATCCCTTTATACTTCACTCTTCGTTCGTTCCTCGAGACTCGTTTTCGAAAGCGAAAGAAAAAGAGAGAGGGAAAAAGAGAGAGAGAGAGAGAGAGAGAGAGAGAGAAGGTGAGAAAGAGAGGAAAGAATGATCGTCACTGGCGATAATTACCTTTTTGTCGCGTTCAAGGCATACACTGGTCACTGTATTAAGGCACGGTATGCACTGTGTCCCAATCCTCGGGTCTCGCAAAACTAGCCGCGATAATCCGGAAGCCGCGAGCGCGAGTCACACTACGGGGTTGCACCGAGGATGGCCGGGTACTGAACAGACAGATGGCGCTCGCGCTCGCGCGCCACCCCTATGCCCCTATCGTACAAACCACCGTCGCGCCTCCACCACCGATACTCCTATGACGAGTATCCCCCGCTAACGCTCGTTCCTCGCGTTCGCGAGGAGGGCGCTCGATATCGCGTTTCGATTTCCGTCATCGAATATGAAAAGTATAGATTGTTTTTATGCCCGTATCAGACTACGCATTGAAGATTGAGATTCAAGATTCAAGATTGAAATTTGACCAATTTTTAAATATAACGTGTACAAGATATTTATGATAATATGTGCACCGATGCACATTGAAAGCTATTATAGACAAATTTATATAAGCATAATTAATTATATTTTCCTATAGCTTTAATCGTGTTCTATTGGTTTTTAAAAGAGTTTTAATTGTTGACAGCGTTAATTAATTTCTTCACGTTTATATAATCGCCGATGATACTATCAGCTGTCAGATTTTCGCAAAATGTCATAAAATGTCAAAAAATCGCGATATCTTGTGCAATATTGTTTTTTTAGCGTATAAAATGTTAAGAGTGTTTTTTCTATCTTGTGGAATTCCATTTAGAATTTTAATTAAAAGGCCGGAAATGCGAAAATAATACTTTTCTCAGGACATTTAGATATGTATTTATACGACATTAATTTCAAAAACAACTAAAACTCCTTTTTCTTTATTATTGTCTTTTCCACTTTCATTTTATTTAAATATATTAACATAAAAAATATAACTACAGTATCTCTCTTAGTCTGACTCTTCCCCTTCGACCTGTCCGGCATGGGTGACCCTACCAGTAACTTAGCGTTTTTGAACGACGCAAGTTTAATCGCTTTGAGAGTGATTAAACCCAATTTACGATGAATATATTTGATCAAAAATAGGTTGTGAGAGAATCTGATTAATACACGGAAAAAAAAGATTAGCAACAGGAGCTAATATATAGCTGTGATAGCTAAAATGTGTCCTTAAAATAAGGACAGCTAATACTGTTGCTGCCCAAGCTAAATGTATTAGCTATTTTTTTTTTTTTTTAGCTATTTTAACGCGTCGATGTTGTCAATGACAGCGTCGCAGAAACAATTAAACAATTGTGAATCGAAGATTCGCGCGCATACCCATAAACTTAGCTGCGCGTGCTAAATGTTTTAGCTATAAAGCATATTCCGCAATGTATGCGCATAGTAAGAAATTTAGGTACGGTTGCTATCTTTATAGCTGCTCGTGTTAATATACGCTTTCAATTTCAGCTAATAAATTTTCATGCCACAGTGAATTTTTTTTACCTATAATAACTAGTACTTAGCTATGACACTAAGGCGATAGCTCTTACAGCTAAGTTTGATTCAGCTACTGAAATTTAGCTGCTATTGTTAAGTCATTTTTTTGCATGTATAAATAATATAAAGTACATTCTCCGTTTTATTACGTGGCATTACACGAAAATGTCCAAAATATGCGTATAATAAAAAATTTATTAGAATAATATTTATTATTAATGATAGACATACAGTTACAAAGCTAATAAGTTTTATATAATGTAAAGAATCGCGACCAAAAGAGTCATTAATAATGTTATTAATTGTTTTTAATTGTAAAAGAAAGTACTTGTGTACTATTGGTCCATTTTGCGCAGACTTTCAAAGAAAAAATTCAAGACGCAAAAAAATAGATAAAGCTTCGATGTACATCAACGATTAAATTATAAAACAAATCGCAATTTAAAATTTCCGAGCAAACGCGACAAATAAATAAACCGACGATATTCATAATATTCGATTGCGATACGCGTAATTTCTATAATAATCAAAATCCATACACACGCGCGCGTGATATAATCACTATCATTTTATGCAAACATATTTCGACAGACATTCGAGATTTGTTATATAGCATCCACCGCCCGATTTATTTTCCAGTACACGATTTCATACGAACGTCGCGATCAACAATAAGATATGTATTCTATCTCGCGGATGATTGTTTTAACAGAATAAAATGGGTCTTATAAGACTTTAAATATTGTTATAAAAAATCGCGTTACGTTAAATGTCACGTTTTATAGAGAATAACCGACCCAATGATTTCAACAAAGCCCTCCCTCCGCCGGGTGATACGTTGGTTAATATTCGACAAAGAGAAGAACGATCCTAAAGGTGGAGAACGACCAACGTCTTGTTTCTACATCAGTTTTTGCAAGATCGATCCGCAAAGAAAAGTTAAGTGATTCGTTGAACGTTAGAGCCGCTGCAGGAGGGAACGAATCCCGGATCTTCCGGACTGCTCCCGATAGCCATGATTTCGGTAATGAATCAACGACAGTTCAACCATTTATCTTCATTTCGCGAGATTGAAAATTGCGCGAAAAAACATGTTCTTCCATTATTAAGAAATATATCTCTTATTGAAAAATAAATGGATATAACAATTTTTTTATGAAAATGTGGTTACAAACAATTATATTTACGGATAATAAAATACATGCATCGTTATTGTAGCGTGTTAAATGTGCGAATACAAATAATTCTTGGGTACCAACTGTTCGAGACGAATCAAACCCGATAACAGCAAAATTTAAAATATTCAAATACTTTGCAAGATAAAATAAATCGACATAATTTCAAATAATTAATTTTAAGCTATTTTTTTGTAGCGTTGAAATAAATTAATTTGTCGATCTTTAAATAAATTAAATATTCTATAATGAAAATAATTTGATACTGAAAGCATTAATACATATACTTGAACTTATACATATTTATATTATAAGTTGCATAATACATATATATATTTCTTTTTGTTATAACAATTTTATTATTTCAATTTTATTTTTAATTTTTTCCTTAATGTCCTAATGGTTCCTATAGCCCTAACAATCCTACTTGCTGGTTGAATCAGGGGAGATTTGGAGAACATATCCCTAATCACGTGCCCTAACCGCCTGCACTAACCGCGTGCCCTACTCACGCGCTCTATTCGCGCGCCCTAATCGTACCGTATGTACTCCTCGCTACGCATTTTGGCCAGTATTGACCGTCTATTTTGCGTAGCAAATCCATTCTTCGAGCCAGTTGGACCTACCTTTCGTTGCTCCTGGCCACTTTCTGGATCAATCTCTAATCAGAGATCAAAAAAGGAGATACACACTCCTTTTATCGCCGGCTATTAACTATCGCCAGCGAATAAGCGCAATGAAATTTATCGTTATATTAATTACTCAGATTCTGCAATTTGACTATTTTATTGCGCCTTCTAAATCCGAATCATATTTAGATCGTCGAAAAGTCAAACGATAAAGCGGGCAAAATATATTTAATTTCAAGTATTTTTAAAGAAATAATTGTTGCTTAGAGAGAAAGAGAGAAAGAAAGAGAGAGAGAGAGAGAATTAATTATTAATTATATCAAATTGTTTTTCGATATTTATCGCGATCGCGTTTAGAAAAGGAATTTAACGGAGCGCCTCAAACTACTATATCACTATTCAAGTGTTGCCATGCGAATGATAAGAAATAAAAAGTGGGAGTGAGAAAGGAATTCAAAACAGCGTTTTCCCCACTATTAAATACTATTCAAGTATCGCCGTGCGAATAATAACAGGGCCGTAACACGTAAATAATAGCGCGCTATTGTTTACGCCGCCAAGGCTACATACCATATTGTTGATAATTCGCAACCGAAATTATTTTGTGTATTATGACGTATATACACGCAAAATATTAATTTATACAAATATTTTATAGATCAATTATTTAAGAGACGATTAATATATCACAGAGCTTATCGTTAGTTATATTAATTATTCAGACCTGCGATTCGACTATTTTATTGGGCGTTCTCAATCCAAATCATATTTAAATCGTCGAAAAGTCAAACGATAAAGTATGGAACAAAATATCATTACTCTAAGTATCGATAGAAAAATAGTTATTATTCGTAAAGATCGCAACAATACGATAATTTATAATTTAGATTTTTGTCACTTCGATTCTTACTTTAAGAGATATTCTTACTTGTATTTTATCGGTTGAGAATAATTTTAATGAATTAATGAGATTTTTGCGATTAAAATGACATCAAACGCAACATAAATAGGATAATTTTTAACTAAATCAATAATAAAAATTTTGGTTACATATTTAACTAAAAATTATCCGATTTATGTTATGGGTATTTAGTATCATTTTAATCGCAAAAAATCATTAATCCATTAAAATTATTTTCAAACAGGTAAAATGCAAAATATAAAAGTTTTATTTTCTATAGTAATATGACACATATATACTCGTAAAATACTTATCATAACAATGATTCCGTTACTGACCCGTTTCGCTTTTCCGTCTGCATGGGGATTTACTCTAATACTCTGATGTTGACTGTTGTGCTGATAACATTGTAGAAATGTTCAAAATGCCGCACATATTCACAAATGTCGAATATGCAGATATGTTGTATGTTTATGGCTTCTGCCGAATACACGAGATGAACTGCTCGCTCAAATAATGGATGCTAGTGCCCGCATAAAGGAACGTCACGATGTACTCAGACGAGCAACACGCCATGTTCACACAAGAGTTGAAAAATGCATTGATGTTAACGGTGGAATTTTTGAAAATTCATTATAATCTGTAAAAAATGTATCACTTGAACAATAAATATTAGAAATAGTACGTAGTATTTCTTTCTTTTGTCAGTAATTTTGCAACTGTACATTCAAATCGCTCTATCTCGGAAACCGTGGGGAATACGACATATTCATATATGAATATTTTTGCTTAAAATGACCGATACGATCACCTCCCAGAATATTGACCTTTCCTCCTGGAACACTCTGTATAATAAAGGAAAAAGCCTCTTGTTGTAAGAAACTTCGGATCTCTTGGATGATACATTATCTCGCTTGCTCTTTATTTGTTTTCGCTCTCGCTTTCAATGATATCAAAGATCTTTACTTATTTCCTTCCGACACTTTTCAGCCTGCTATTCCCCTTCCATTTATATATGTTCTAAGGTTCCGTTATGCACTGCGAGTACTGGCAGTACTGCTAATGCCGTACCTACATGAAGCTAGCCGGAAGAAATTATTAAATATGATTATTTTAAATTTTTCTGAATGTATTTCGTTTGTAAATCATTTGTGATTGATTGTGAGTCTGTTTTTAACGTTTGTGACAAATTAGGTTTTTTGTAATTAGCAATTTTAGTTTGGTCATGATGTTAGCCGGAACTTTTTAGTAACAAAGAGATTTTGTGATAACTGATAACTGTAATTGATAAGAAACCGTTTGTGATTTACAAATATACTAATGTTACGTTTGTGAATTGATAAATTTTTTAATTACATGCAAAATGAGTTTTTTTTTATGATTGTGGTACGCATGCGCAAAGTGTACTCAGGACTCCTGCCCTGAGAGCGCGTCGCTCTGTTATGCCCGTATCAGACTACGCATTGAAAATTGAAGATTGAAGATTAAAGATTGGAATTTGACTAATCAGAACAAAAGGGACTAAAATTTCTTTGTCCTGTTTGGTCAAATTCCAATCTTTAATCTTTAATCTCAATCTTCAATGCGTAGTCTGATACGGGCTTTAGGCTGTGTTCCGATTCCCCACCCGGATGCACCCGATATTATAGTATACGTGACATATACAACAGCATTAACTGTTCACGACTGGGGGCGATGTGTGGCGCCGGGCGTAGAGTCGCAGGCTGGTAATCGAGAGATTCTCCAGGTTCGATTCCGCTCGGGTCCCATCCTCCCACATGCCTCAAAAAGAGGTTTTTCATACATTATCCTATGTAATGCCTGTATATACAGGGTGATTCAAAACAACCTTCTGTCCTTACAATGTCATATACCTGATTCAATTCTGGTGAGTTGCGCCGTCCCTGCCTGCCTCGCGTACGCGGCCCGTAATTCGTTAATTATTTTGGCTTATAATTTGAAAACTAAGCCTCGGAAAAAATTTTGGCAAAGGAAAAATCGTCTTAGAATTGAGTCAGGTATATGACATTGTAAGGACAGAAGGTTGTTTTGAATCACCCTGTATATATGGTTTATCATATATTATCCTATCTATAATACCTATATTTGTTTATCATATATTATCCTATATAATACCTATACCAGTTTATGGCCGTATGGCGAGTATTCGCCATTTAGAAAGTGTTGTAGCACATTTCTGCGATATGATGTCTATTAAATCCATATTCCTGTCGAAGCTCCCATCTTTACTAGAACATTTTAAATGGGCTACTCGTGTTAGCTGTTCACGATTAGATCGATAAATGTTTCGATCGAAAATTTTACTAATTGATTCAAACATTTATCGATCTAATCGTGAACAGCTAACACGAGTAGCCCATTTAAAATGTTCTAGTAAAGATGGGAGCTTCGACCGCAATGGATTTAATAGACGTTATATCGCAGAGATTTGCTACAACACTTTCTAAAATAAAATATAATCGCAGAAATGTATGTGAACTAGACGTTTTATATGACAAGTTGAACTTCTTAAAAGTCTTGTTTCTTTGCTCTCGAATACATCATTATCCGCTGTATTGTTTTTCAACTTAGACTTCTGAATGTTCTGCAGGATAACATCAGGTTAAATCAGGAAAATTTATACAAATTAAAATTGTCCCATCAAAATTTAGATATCATTTGTGCAATTGCGAAAATGTTTGGATTCGAAGGGAAAGCCACAAGTATTAAAGCAAGATATGCATTAATTCTGTTGCCGCCGCGTACTCCACCAAAGGTTGTTGCTGATTTTCGCAAATTGTTAAAACAACTACGTTTTAATAGCTACATGACCAAAATATGTTGTAGCGGAGTAAAACTTGACGAGATATGTTAAAATTATATAAAAATAATTGAATAATTGAATAATATGATTAATTGAACTAAGCGCGAATAATGTAGTAAGATAAATTTCATTATAGTTATATTATAAGTAAGGAGAGACGAACAATATACAGTTTTATATAATATATTTTTTCGTTACTTAAAGTTCCTTTTCTTTCAATAATATCGTATTGATTTATGAACGATCATAAATCATTGTAAATATATTAATTGCAAAATTTATCAAAAAAATTAGTTTTTTTTGTACGCCACTCATTTGAATTTGATAACACAGATCGATCAAGAGATTATTTTTTTAGTTCATTTTGTTTTGTTTTATAGATTGACTCTGATGACACATGTTTAACAGACTAAACCTTTGTTTATATGTCTATTCAAAATACAAAAAATTAGTGGGAAGAAGTATTATCGATCATTCTTTTCCTGATTTTGATTGACATTCGAATTGCAATTGATGACACGTTTTACTTATTAGACTTATTAGAATTATTTATTGAATTTCTATTTTTTATATAATTTAATCTATAAAATAACAAGGATAGCACTACTTATTCTTTGCTTCAAAATTATAATTGAATTATATAAAATGATATAATTCGATATATGAATACTATTTTACTTATATTTTACATTATACTTCAATTATAAAATAATCTCGTCAGAGAATTTTTTTTTTTTTATATTTGCTGCATAAAATATTACACTCGCATACACAGGGAAAATGTAGCCGCATTTATACTATATGCTGTATAAAACATCAATACGTTAATTGAACCAATACAAATAAGATAATAACAAGGATTTGTATTATTATAATTATGTAACCATATAATATTAAAGATTTTTTTTTAGATCCAACTAATATTTGAATTTTAACGTAATAATCAGCAAGTATATTTTTGTATGCGGCTTGTAACTTGTAACACCTTGCGGTAACGAATTCTCAAATAACTTTCATTATGTGTGAGTAATTTCTCTTTTGTTTTAGTTTATGAAAGTTTTAATAGTTTAATAGTAAACAGGTTGCGTTTAGACTTGTCATTTATATAATTATAGTAATGTGCTTTTCCTTTTGCATAACTGTATGAAATATAAATACCAATAAAATTTTAATATTTAAAAATATTATGTATTGTTTCTAATTTTTATATTAATTTCTCATATATAGGTAGATATAGGTATATATAGGTATATATAGGTAGATTTGTGTTTAACTTTGCTTTATTTTCTTATCATATGATATTCGGAATACAATTTTCATGAGCAAAATGAATTTATTATAGCGCATTCACATACTATTAAAATTTTTAGTTTATATATATATAATATATATATATATATATATATATAATTTACACATATATGTGTGAATTTTTTTTGAACAAAAGCTCTACACTCTGAAGTAATGCCGATCATTGACGAAGGCGATGACTGCGTTTTGATTTTGATGTTGAACGCATTTGTCAAGTGGTATCCACTTTATGTGCTGAAACATAAATGAGATATACATATTACCAAATTAAAATAAATTAGATACAAATTTATTTTTAACAAATAACTAAATAAAGTCTTACACGAGATTGGTATCCTGAGGGGTGCATCATTACGTATAATACATTCATGCGTTTGAGTATGAAACAGATATTGTACCAAGAGCTGCTTATCTTCTCCCATATATGGATCGTAAAATCCAGGTAGTTGGCTCTGCAACATTTCATATAACACAGAGTTATGAATATATTATTAATATTTCAATATAAATATCAATATATCCCAGTAAACACAAAGTAACAGTAACATAACCTTAATGTTATAATTTCCCACTCAACAATGTAACTGTTACGTACAAGGCATGTTATATTGCAGTTACATTGTTGGGTGGGAAATTATAACATTGATGTTATATTACTGTTACTTTGTGTTTACTGGGATATGTTTGTTTATTCAATTATATGTTAAGCGTAAAGAAATAATCGAAGAAATTTATTTACCTATTTATTTATTGCGCAGCCAGAGAGCGGGTCAATAAAGTTATACAGTTCATTAATATTCGAATGAGTTACATTAGTGTCGATGATTTAAATATATACACATTATTCAAACATATATGTATATATACTTGAGGATAACAGCATGAGATATTTTTTAAATTGCTCCTGCAATTACGCCTTCAACTTTCGGTCGATCTTTCTTCCATTGGACGACAGTATGCTCAGTCTTGAGCACCACAAAATCTTATGGATGAATATCACGCGATTATATACGAAGGTATACAATTTTATATTTAAATTCATATATTAAAAGAATATTTCACATATATAATTCATTTTATTTAATTGTCTTCAGACAAATGGCTGCAGAACAATCGACCATAAAGAAAACAATAACTTTTGTTCTATTAACATCAGGATCGGATGGAACAATGGTTGATACTCGGATATAATGCTCAATCGGATAAATACTTTGCGAGTATAATGATATCGGTGAATGACAACTGATGGTTACTCGATTTAAAAGAGATTTGAGGAAGAAAATGGTACAATTTTTTTATTCAGCTATCAGGTGACCTAGTCCATTCAAATGTCCTGGATGAACATTAGCTGCAAAATGGATACTGTAACAATATTGTGTGGAACTTCAATTCATTAATTGCTTGTTATGAGTAAAATAATCAATATGCATTCAAATCTATTGAAAATCCTGACATGCAACATTATGATAATTATAAAATGATTATTATATGTCCAAATGACACAAGAAGAAGCTGGTAAGTTGCAAAAATCGCGATACGCAAATGTATTACATCTTACTGCATGAAATCGATTTTATATCAACATTGTCTAAGTAATCTCCTAGAGATAAATGTATGTGATTGAAAATATTTAATTTGACACATATTCCATTTCTCAGAATATAAAGCTGAAAAGAATGAGATTTTTATTATTAATAATAAAGAAATTAAATTTATTCATTATGTTGATATAGTTTTCTTGAAAATAAGAAGAAAAGAGTATGTAATTTTTTTTACTGATTGCACCAAAAGATTAGATACTCTAGATTTTTTCACTAAATACTTTTCAAATAATTTCTTATTTCATCATGTAAAAATTTCATCTTTCCATAGAATTTTCCAAGAATGTATTTCTTGCAAAGAAAAGATATTTCACTCTTTAATCATAAATAAAATGACAAAAATAGTATATTAAATATGATGCTGTATACATCAACTTTTATAAAGAGTGTCCAAAATTGAAAATAGAATACAAAGTAGAGAAATATGGTTTTAAAAATGAAGAATTTGATTTTGTTATTTATTTGCACTCCTTAATTTATATAAAATCTTTGTTTTCAACTGCTACTTATACTATTAAACATTACTATTAGTGCCATAACATTTTTGTAAAAGAAAAATTATTTCCAAATTGACCAAAAAATATTATACTCTATTTCTCTATTAAGCACTACTGTAGTAATGACATGACACTTTGTATAGTACTGCAGATTTAATAGATGAGTTATATAAGCAGAGTGACATCCCATTCAGCTTCCTATATTTGTTCAAAATGAAATTATAAAGATGATTTTTTCTTGTGAAAAATATGATACTTGGCGTCGCGACGCTACCGCGTCGCTTGATAAAGAGAGAGAACATAAATGAATTTTTTGAATCGTGTTTTTTTTGTTTTCTTAAGAAAATAAAAATTATGAATATAAAAGCGACATTTGGTAGTTATATCTAGTCAAATATATTGTATACTTTGACAAAGAAAAAAAACATTTTAAACATTTACTTCATAACAATAAGTAGATATGTTTTTGTCAGACAGGCATTATTATTCAACAAATAAACATACCGATTATCGTTTACCTATAATACAAATAAGATTGCCAACGGAATAATAAAGACGTTATCCATCGAGTTACAGATAGTCAACAAGGGAAAAACATTATTTGTCTTATGTTTCTTCTATTCATCATACCCTTCTTATTACCTTGCTTTTTGATTTTATCTTCCAACAGATCCAGTATTAAATTTGCTAACAATCAGATCAGTCACAATTGATTCGTATAACATAATAATGAAGGACATTGAATGGCTGTTAGTGTATTCTTTTATTTTGCAATGAAACTGTTCCTTATTTTTATTATAACTTTTATTTATCTACAGACGAGTACCGGAATTAAATATCGAAGCCGATGCCAAGACGATCATAGAGGTGTGTAAGGATAAAGGACTGAATAGCGTACCGAAATTCTCGTTACTGAGCGTTTGTCAGCGGGAACCGCCGAACCCGCCCAATCAACGATTAACAAAAGAACAACTATCGCCGGTTATACCGTACAAACAACTAACCAGTAGAAATGAAGCATTCAATCCAGAAATACGAGAGTTGTGTCTGAAACACCCAATCTTTGTGATACGCGACCTTGTCGCAACTCTCAATTTTGACGTGGATCTTTTTACAACTAAGACTTTAATTGATACGAATCCGAGTGGCAGTATCGAGGTGCGCTCGCAGATGAAGCAAACTAGTGTGGAAAACTGGAATCCAGAACATAGTCGGATGGTCTGGAAATGCCATAGTCATCGAACCTACTCGACGATCGCCCAGTATGCGAGTTATCAAAACAGGAAAATTCTGGAGAGCATGAACAAAGAGAAAGAGAACATACAAAACAACGAAACGACTTCCAGTCAGTCAAACTTGGACTCGAAAAAGACCGATCAAAAGACGATTAATGAGGAAAAGAAACTACTCTTCGGCACCAACGTGGATTTATCAAACATAAAAATATGGAAACGGCAACTGGAGGAGCTAAAGAAGCTGCCATCCTTATTTCAGGTGGGATCGGATGACAATATGCTCAACTATGTGGGTCACGATATCTTGGGAATGAACACTGTGCAATTATATATAAAGGTATATTGAAATATTTTGATATAATAAAAAAATTTTAATTAAAATAAGATCTCTCTATATAGAGCATCCCCTGTGTAAAAAAATGATCAAAGCATTCTTGCAAATGTAACTTAGCTTTTACAATCGTCTATAGGTACCTGGTTGCAGAACACCTGGTCATCAAGAGAACAATAACTTCTGCTCGGTTAATATCAACATCGGACCGGGCGACTGCGAATGGTTCGCGGTACCATATGAATATTGGGGTGCAATATGCTCGCTTTGTGAGCGTAACGGCGTCGATTATCTGCACGGTAGTTGGTGGCCGCCAACTTTGGAGCAGTTATACAGGGAAAATATTCCGGTATACAGATTCTATCAGAAAGCAGGCCATTTGGTATGGGTGAACGTCGGCTGCGTACACTGGGTATACGCGAAAGGCTTTTGTAATAACATTGCGTGGAACGTTGGACCATTCACTGCCAAACAGTACCAAGCCGCCATCGAGCGTTATGAATGGAACAAGTTACGGAAATTTCAATCGATCGTACCGATGGTGCATCTATCTTGGAACCTGGCATGTAATAACAAAGTGTCAGATATGCAACTACACCAAATGATCAAAAATTGCTTGTTGCTGACGATGAGACAACATTATTTAACATTGGAGTTTGTGAAAAACAAAAGTATTAAAATTGAATCTATTGAATGTGACTTGAAGAATACGCCCTATTGTGAAAAGTGCATGGTGAATTTCTTTTTTTATATTTTCAATAACTTTGGCTGAATACATACTCTGTAGAAATTAAAACGAAAAGAGTCTCGTTTTTCTTTTTCTATGTAGATTTTTAAAATCTTTTTTCTGTATACCGGATTTAAAAATTGCTTACAGAAAAAGAGGGAGATTATATATAAAGTCAGACAAAATATTTTTGTTTTCTCAGATAAAATAAATTTCAATCACAGCAAATTCTCTCATCATGATTTTCATGGTATTTTATTTCGCTAAGTGTTTCTTGTCTCTATTCAGTAATTGATCACTATAGTCATTTTTCTTAAAGACATGCTAACACACATACACATTTAAACAAATCATTAAATATTATCTTATTGTTGTTTGGTTTTCGCTACAATTTTTTTCTCTATTTAATATATAATTTTATTTCAAAAATTATGTTTTATTATAAAATATATCAGTATTTTTACTCATATATATTATTATTATTTTTTCTTTTTATTTATTTTACATTTATTATTTTTAATGTTTACTTTTGCAGGTTGAGGTATTTGGCATTTTGATTGTTCGTTCGAAAGCGAGACGCAATGTGCCATATTGCTTAGATTGCGCACTTAAACTTTCTCCTATATTAGAAGGATTTATCTGCGTGGAAGAGAATAACCTACACAATGTAATAAACATTTATGATAACTTTGCTCGAAAACAGTAGTGCCGCATCCATTTGTTCTAAACTATTGAAACTACTGTTAATTAAAGATTACTTATATTATATATATATATATTAAAATATACTTTTGTTTTATTTAGAAAATTCTAAAAGTTTATAAAAATTATATTGAGAAGTATAAATGAAAAAATAATTTAAATAACAAAAAATTAATTAATTTTATCTTGTATATATATATCAGAGAGATTTTAAATTTTTTGAAAAGATTTGTGAAACTGAAATGGTTAATATATATTATGATAATTAATGAGAACAATTACGATCATTTACGAGAACGATTTTGGTTCTTAATGGATTTTCTTGGATTATATGTAAAACAATGATTTGAAGATATTTTCAGTAATGTGAAAGATTTATTATTGCGAATTAATATTAGTATATGTGAATATTGAATAAATAAAAATAATTTGGAAAAGAATAATAATAACAATATAGAAAATCAAGATATAATAACAAAATAATTGCGTCTTTGATAAATAATTTGTAAAATTCCCAGATAACAGAAGTAGTCATTTTGATGTTATTTTGACGTCAAATTAAGTCAAAAAGACTACTTTTGTTACCTGGGTTATTATAAAATTCTATTACTGTAGGACAGGAGAAAAGAATAATATTTATAAAATATGAAATTGTTTAATAATCGACATTGCATGCACAAAATCTCTTTAGTCCTATTGCGTAAGACAAAATATTGCATAGAGATTTGAGCTTATTAGAAACAATATCGCAAAAGTTTAACATTCTTCATTGTAAAGTTAATAAATTTATTTCTCAAATATTGTTTTTCATTTTTTCTTTGAATTTTTCTCCGAAAGTAAATGATATATGTATTTATTTATTAGTTAGAACGCAAGTTCAGAGATTCTACAATTCTACATAATAGTGGACGATTGCAACGTCTTTCTTTGATGAGTTTTCGAACGCGCCAAAATCACGAGGAGTTGCGAGAGTGATCTCGATCGCATTTCGATTCTGCACCGTTCTGTTTATTTATGTGTAAAACAATGATTTGAAGGAAGTTCCAATACTGTGAAATAATTCATTATTGTAAATTTATGTCACAGTGTGTGTGTGCATAAATAATAAATCATTTGAAAGTGAATAACAATATAGAAAGTCAAGGTATAATAAATGACATGATATAATTGCGTCCTCGATAATGCGTAAAAATAATCTTTTGTCGATTATTTGTTTGATGTACAATTATTTTCAAATCTTTCAGATATATCTGTGGCTTTTCTTCTGCAAAAAAAAAAAGACATCTAATCTCGACATGGTTTGCGAAAAGTGCGAGAAGAAATTGGGTAAGGTTATCACGCCTGATCCTTGGAAGACAGGTGCGAGAAACACTGTGGAAAGCGGAGGTCGTCAGGTAGGGGAGAACAAAGCTTTGTCTGCGGGAAAAGCTCGATTCAATCCATACACCACGAAATTCGAGATTTGCAGAATATGTAGGCAAAAGGTACATCAAGTGGGCTCCCACTATTGTCAGTCCTGCGCATACAAGAAGGCTATCTGTGCTATGTGTGGCAAAAAATTAATGAGTACAAAGAATTATAAACAATCTGCGACTTAATTTCAACAATTATGTACACTTTAGACTAATGATTTGCCATATAAGTACATTATTATATGTTTCGAAATGTAAATTTGACAATCGTTTCCGAATAGCTTTGCGACTTGATTACCTGATAGTATATAATTGTATTAAGATATAATATTGTGTATATTAATATTTGTGTGATAATAAAATGTAATATAATTATCATTACAAAAAACATTGTTGCGCACAAAATGTAAAATTATATTTGTAAAATATAAATCAATTTGTTAATTACATTATATTTTTCGTTAAATCATTAATATCTACATATATGATAAGTTAATATGATGTACAAATATAAATATCAAATGTTTTCAAATCAAGATAGTAATGAAAATGGATAAAAAAATATTTTAAAATAATATGTTAAAGAAAATTCATTTCAAGCATACTTAGATTTTTATATGTAGCTATGTCTACATAAATAGTAATTTTTACAAAAATAATAATTAAAGTTTAAAGCTAATAAAAATTAAGGCCGATAATGTGTAAAGGATGATTGATATATATTTCGTAATAAAATGCTTACACATCATATATATTCTATAGTTTCTATAATTTTTCTTGTGAAATTCTTGTGTAAGAGAAAATATAATAAAAATTTTTAAAGTGAATATATATGTTAGCAGATAATACAATAAAAGCAGATAATACAATAAAAAGAAACATAGATAATAGATAAATAAATTATAAATTAAAATAATTAAATAAAATTAAATAAAATTATTTCTTTCTATTTTTCTTTTCCTCCTCCTCCTCCTCTTCTGCATTCGCCAATAGTTGTAATATTTGAATTTGTAAATGTCTAGCCCTTTTTTGCGACAGTTTTCTCATCCTTTCTGAGAGGAACATTGTAAAATGTTCGAAAGGATCTTTTGCAACACTGCTTTCGCTCATCTCTAAATATTTATTATTTGTTGCTGCTGCAATAATAAAGTTTTAATTGGTGATAACCTTAAATTGATGAAAGGAAATCAGTAAAGTCAGAAGAAAAAAAATTTTCTTACCGGTTTTATTTGGTGTTGGAACTCTTGTCATCGTCGAGCGGCCGTATCGGCGCCGTGTGACGTTACACTTCCCAGACAGCACAAAACGTCCTTCAGGATATCCTACATGTATGTCCTGGATGCCCTTTGGACGTCCTAAGGACATCCTTGTGCTGTCTGGGTTATGACACACGTACGATTCGCAATTCGATACTACGATTAATCTAAATATATTTATGTACAAGTTCCTCGTTTCTTGGTATTACGGAGTTTGATTGTCGAGTAATAATTCGGTGAACGTAATGCGATAGTCGCTGATTCCGATTCATCGATCGTTAATAATTTCCGGGTATCACCTTTCCATCAATTCATCAATTTCATTTGGACGAAACAAAGAAGCATAGAAAGAAAAAGGTTTTATAACACGCGACAGTTTCGCGATACCAAAATATTGGTATATTAATATACGATACACTCTTACCGCGCGATAGTCGGTCCAACGGGATGAATTCGCATCATCACGACGAATGTGATCATTCGTATGATCATACCACTATACCTTTGACATAAGCCCGATTTTCATGCTACAGTTTTTCGAAGACACCAAAGAGACTAATTGTATAAATTCGTAATCTGTATAAATATTCGTAATCCAATTGTTTTGATATGTACATATGTCTTGTTCTTTTTTCCTATTTACTTTTGCCTAGAAGGGTCTAGGCAAAAGTAAATCTTCCTCCACATTTTCGAGCGAATAATTGTTAGCTCTGAAAAACAATTGTATTTTATGTTAAATGTTATTATATTAGTATGGAAAAAATTAAAATACAAACTAAATGCTAAATTTCAAACGTAATAGGCCGAATATCTCGATAACTAAACGAAATATCGAGGTCCGATTTTTTTAAGTTGTATTATTTCGAGACGGACAATCTTATCAAAATTTGTCCGTCTCGAAACAATACAATCTAAAAAAAATCGGACTTCAATATTGTATTTAGTTAACGTTTCTATGGTGCACGCACATCGTTGGTACGGACTTGTAATTTGCATTTAAATTTTAACACATTTAATAAATAACAAGTGCGAGAAATTATGCTTTTATTAAATTGAATACACACAGACTTTCTATTACAATGTAGGACCATAAAAAATCACAGCGTATTGCGTATTGCCATATCGAAAGTCAAAAAAATAAAGATTACACGTGAATAAAGATTAAATATTTACATAAAATAAAAAAAATAAAACAAAACTAAAACAAAAACTCTTTGGTTCTTCAACTTGTTCCAACTTGTTTCTTTCATTCTCTGCGGGCTGCTGCCGTTGCGAGTTGCTAAAAAAAATTATGAAAATTGATAATAATTTTATCATGAATATACAAGTTTATACCTACAAGCAGTTTACCTCGCGCCAATTGCTGTCCTTCAGCGAGATAAGAGGGGGTGGCCCTTTATACATATCGTTCCGCGAGCCGCTACTTTCCTAAATCAAATAATTACAATACAATATTTTTATCTAATCTTAATTCTTATTATTCGCGTACAGATTTAATTTAATAAATATTAAAGCTTACCCTTTTCTCTTCGGTGCCTCATTTTTCTCTTCTGTGCTCTTCGATGCCTCATTTTTTTCTTCTGTGCTCTTCTTCGGTGCCTCACTTTCTTTGTCTTCGTCCGAATCGGACAGAATGATCTGTTGATTTTTAAAAAAAGTAAGATTAATCAGGCAATTTAATGAATTGTTAGTATATTAGTAGATTACAACAGTAATAAAAAGAATAATATAAATAAGCTTACTTTTCCCAAATCCCTGCGCCTCTCCCAACGGGCAAGAGAATTTTTGGATAGATCACTAGTTCTGAAAAACCTTATTATAAATGTTATTATAAATATTATGTTAGTATGGAAAAAATTAAAATACAAATGCTAAATTTCAATTCATTCATAGGCTGAATATCTTGATAATTAAATGAAATATCGAGGCCACCCGATATGCAGCAGCGGAGTTGACTGCATCGAAGCTTCGTAGAACCAATACAAACAAATACAATATAAATCAATAATCGAAATTATAGCGATTCTCGCCATAATTATATAATTGTTGTACAATTATTATTGTACCCTTTGATCTTATATTCCAAGCATACAATACTAAACAGAAATGTATTTAAATAATTTTATAAATTTTGATTCAATCCAATTAATTAATAAATAATAAATATTTACCTCCGGGTTGCTCCGCTGGCGCCCGATGTCTCTCCCAGACCTCCTTCTCCTCTCAGGTTGACTAGATCGTTAGCTTTCTCTACATTAATCTGCAACACATAAATGAAATCCGACTTATAGCAGTGTGTCTAAAATAATTAATATTTCCAAGAATTCTGAGATTATTGTACGCATTGAAAATTTTATTTTTGATACAATCTTATCAAAATTTGTCCGTCTCGAAACAATACAACCTAAAAAAAATCGGACTTCAATATTGTATTTAGTTATCGAAATATTCGATATCGGCCTGTTACATTTGGAATTTAACACCTTGTATAAGTAACATTTATCCTTGACAATTATAAAACGCAAATAATCGACCGAAAACTTTTTCTCGACTCTTTCGATTTGAATAACAAATTTTTAGAAATAAAAACAACCGAAAAGTTGTAATTTATAAAGAATAATAGTTTAAAAGATTATTGCTAAATTTAAAATGTAACAGAATATGTAAAAATACATACGATGTATCTTGTGCCGTATCATCGAGGAAACTCATGATGAACTATCGTCGATTCTCGAAACGAATTGACCGCCGCGAGAATATGAGAAGCGATCGGATGCGAGACACTTCGTAACGAATTTGAGACAACTACGATGTTTATCGTCGCTCGTGTTTTAATTTTGGCTTTTATCGTTCGAATTTGTTGTCGAAATTTGCCGTTGAAATTAATCGACTAAATTTAACGTTTCAATCTTGAACAAACATTTATGATAAAAAAATACACCAATAATATTATTTATTTTTTAAAACGTTTATTTATTTTATTTTATAATTTGGATATTTTAAAAAAACATTTCCACAAATAATAATTAACTAATTAAATAATTAAATCAACATAAGATAATGCTTATTTAAAAAATATTAAAATGGATCTTTATCTGAATCAAATATTTCTTCATTATTTTCGTCATTATTATATTCTCTTGATTATTTATCATTTATAAAAAGAAGATTTTTTACATTTGGAGCAATTTCTTTTTGATTTTTAGAAAATTTTTGGAGAGAAGAAATTAATAGGTCAGAAGTGAGTAATAATCGTTTAAATAAATCTTCATTCGTATTAATTCTAGTTTCTCTTATGTGATGTTCCCTATATCTCTTAATATGAAGAATATGAAGAGAAGTAGCATACTAATTAAATTTTTAAGAATTTCTTTTAAGTCTGAGGTTTTCTAGTCACGAAAAATAAAGCACTCAAATGGAGACAAAATATTGGAAAAATATAATCAAATGGCAAGTAGAAATAAATTAAATTCTCAGAATTGTGGCATCAGAAATTCCTAGATTTTTAAATCTATTAAAATTCAAAAATTTAGGATATCTGGGCATGATATTCACGCTTCAAATATGTTAAAACAGGTACAATTTTCTGCCATCTGATGCATTCTATCGTAAGCTTGTATTGGAGCAATAATTACATAGTGAATACAAATAATTGTTATTTTCTCATGAAAATATATAGCGTAAAGAAATATATTTCTGCGATATCGGGTTTTATGTCTAAAAATATACACTTTTATTCGTTAAAACTTTATACATTTTTCACTAACAAAAATTATAGACAATAATATATAGTATGTTACCAACATGTTAGTCTTGAAATAAATTATATTACAATAAACGTACACATAGAGAAAGACTTGACGACTGACTTGCATCAGTTAACAATAACACATTCCACGTTTTCTTTAACAGTGCTGTAATACTGCCACCCAATATATGGAGGAACACTTTGATATTAATCGTGTGTTTTATAGTAAATAGTCATATAATTTACTATAAAACGCGTGATTTGGGTTCTTTGTCATCCTTTTGGAAAATACCTAGTATAAAGCAGATAATACAATAAAAAGAAACAATATGCAATATTATAAAAGAAATATACAAAACTTGGAAAACAACCATTTTTACATATTTAAAATTAAAATTTTATGGGAAAATAATATTAAGCATCAATATATTAAAAAAGCGAAAATAATGTAATTATGCGTAAAATTTTATTAATTACGCTTGTTCTTTGTGTATCTTGTATGCGCGGACAGTATTCGTACACAATTAGAATTTAGCATACAAGAGACGGTTAGTAAATTATTAAGTTCATTAATCCCGGATTTGCAAATTATTTCACTTACATACTATATATATTATTACGCGACGCATTATTTGATTACAGATCTTATCGACAAAGGTATTTGCATCTCATAATGGACGTATATATAAAACACGACGATCTTATCAAGTATCTCTAACTACTTGTAAGTAAAACAAGTCACATATTCAGATTGCAGATAAGATAAGATTCTCTTTCTCATCTTCAAAGTATCCGAGAATTAAAAATACAGCGTCATCGCAACATCTTCGCTGCATATTTAGCATTAAATGTGATTATTTCGTTTCGACTGAATTGTGTGATGTTCGTATAATACGCGCGATATTCAACTTAAAAAAAAAAGTAAGATGATAACCATATTTAACATTTAATGTACGATAAAAGTACAAACAAGATAACAGAGAAAGGACTATAATTATACGTAAAATACGCGACAGTAAAATTATTTTCAGGTAAATTAGAATTACGTATTTTCTCATTATACATGTATATGCAATCAGCAAGATTGTATGTGTGTATGAGTTAAAAATTATTTTGATTTAAAATGGGAAAGAAAATAAAAGTTTTGTTAAAAAAAATATATGCATAAGTTTTTATATAATAAAATATGCTAAGTTTGTTACAACGTTTATGTTTAAGGGGACGAGTATCAGAATATAATTATATAGTATAAAAAATCCTCTTTCATCATTCGAAATCTTTGATAAAAAATTATAACTTTAAATCGAACGATCAAATCGCAGTTTATTTCTGAACAGATTTTAAAAAAATAATTAGACCACACACATACAGTGGTTTCCAAGAAAAAAAGTACACATAAAGAAAAACATGATTTTCTTATATGTTCAAACATTTTTTTAAGGCACTTAGATATATCCAAAAATTATGTTATATAGCTAAAAAAAATGTTTAAAAAAAATTGTATACTTCTTTTTTAAAAAATAGAAGATTCTGATATTTTTATCATTTTTTAAGTACACCCGCCCCCTTAAAAAGCACTGGCCCGATTGATTGGATTTAACGCACAAGCTAAAATCCGCGATCTCTTACATGCATTCACATTTCAAATCCGCACTTCAAGTATGTAATCCCTTCAGTTCATAATTACTCTTTATGGCACATATATAGTTTCTTAGCTTTTATTTATTTTATTTTTTTTTTTTTACGAAAACCAATTTTAGAAATCGAATATGAATTCTCACATTGTAGTCGTGACAGACAATCGATTTAATATGTATGCGTATAGAAATGTTTTCAAATATATGCAATATGTAACAGTCATTTTTTTATTTGTTTTAGATATGCTGCTTTCTCTCTCTAAGATATCGAAATAAATTACCTAGGAAATTATAGAGAATTGAAAGAAATTATACACACACAAATCAGCGAAAATATTTATCTGTAGAATAAAAATCTTCGGTAAAGTCGTCAAGAAGCGTGTTCTCTGGATCTATATTTTGTACATACTTGATACCATATGTTGTGTGTGAAACACGTATCGCTCCAAGAAATACATCAACATACGTGACATAAAGCTAATCATTTTCTCACTTTTCAGTTTACATATGTTTCTCGCTGTTCATTTCGATCACATCGGAAACTTGGGGTCAAAAAAGAAAGAAGACGAAGTTTTAATTGCTGAAAAGATATACATTAAAAGTGCGAAAATATTATTTATCTCAAAAAATCATTAAGTGCAACATTCTTAAACTCGATTTAAAATTTTTGATTGAATCGATTATCCTAAAAAGGACATTAAATCTAAAAATCTTTAGTTTTCAGGGAACTTGAAAAATTCATTCATCATCATTATATTATTCGTTTTCATAAAGAAACACCATACACGAAGAGGTTTTGTCGTTCCTGATATTTTTTGAAAAAAATGCCTTCTTAAAATGAGTGATACTGCTTATTTCCAGTTTGCATTTTTAAAGAAGAAGCGAGAATAGTGAATATTCTAATTCGCATCGTCCCTGGACGACAACATGATGTTGGTAACGGACTGCGGTTGGCTGGAAGCAGGGTTCCAACGATTTTGCTCCTTGTCGGACATGAAGATCCAGTGCTCGAACTTCTTGCCCTCCGATTGTTTGATTTCTGACTGATGCGACGGATCCAGGATCTGACCTCTCTTGCCCGTCGCGGACTTGTATTCGGATACGTAAACCACCTGCTTGTCCGTCCGATCTTCCTTCGGGCTTCTCGTGATGTCTGATCGTCTCGGTGGTACCGGCGGTTTTTTACCGGACGTGGGTTTGCCGTTCGACGTCACCTTGATCTCGTGCTGTGTCAGCGATTTTCGCGACTCGCCGTTAGTCCCAGTCGTGATTACTCCGTCCTCGTTCTCACTGTCGATTTCACGAACGCTCTCTCTGTTGGGCGACACTTTGATTTCCGTGATATAGGTCATCTTGGGAGCAGCGTTCAACGGCATAGGTGTATCGGGCAAGGGTGGACGATTCTCCGAATCTTGCGGATTGTTGTAGTCCATTGACTCGCGAACTAGACCACTGTCCTCGCTGTTCTCGCCGCTCGACACACTGACACTGCTGATATTGTGACGGTCCTCTTTGGGTGAGGACGGACTCTTGCTGTGCGCCGTCACACCTGAACCGAAATCGTACTCATCCTCTTCCTCTTCTTCGCCGTCGTCTCCGTCACGACCGGAGACATTAATAACGCGTCTGGCAAAATGCGTATCGATGAAGGAGGAGTCGGTCGGCGAACACTTATCGCCCCGTTGTTCGAATTTCGTCCGGTGCGCCTGGAATGTGGAGAAGGTACCGTTCTTTCCCTCCGTGTTCGTTTCTTCCCTCGGATCCTGGGATTTATTGTGCCTGGCGGGCTCCGATTTGGACGCATGAATTCGTAGATGCGTCGGCGTGCATGCCCGTTCTACTTCTTTCTCTACATTTTCCTTTATCTTATTGTCATCTGAAAACGATCGCACGGTCACGCGATGTGGCCTATCGGCGTGTTTTCCGCGTTCGCAATTGGCGCTGTGCTGGCAGTTCCTGTTCTCGCAACCGTGACAACCTCTGTCTATAGTTATCTTCGAGAGGGGCTCTTCCACAACGGCCTGCTTACCGGCATAGAGTGATGCGTCATTAAGAGATGCTTTTTCTTCTTTCTGCTCGTTTAGCTGCACCAGATTCACTGTCTTTGTCGTCGACTCCGCTGGTGAGACATTCGCGTGTAGCTTAAAGTAGCGCAAAGCGCGACTGAAGTCCTCCGACTTTTCCAACACGGAATTGTCCGTATCATTTCCGGAGAGTTCCTCCTCACCTTGGTTCTCTTTAGAGAAGCGTTTCTCATCGGCCAACTGAAAGTCCAGCTCCACCTCTTTCGGAGTCGGGCTCTTCACCACCCGGCCGTCGTTTACGATCCTAGCTAGAGAATTGTCCTCGTCCGGATTGAACATCCGTTCAGCATGAATAAACTCCTGTGTCAATCGCTTGCTCAACGGCAAGTTGTACAGTTCAATACTGGTGATGTCGTGATCATTATTGTCGGGTTTTTTCTTTTCGGACACATCGTCTATCGCTGTTGTTTCAGTGACTTCCTCCTTCAGCTTGATTTCCACCGCAGATTTGGAACGTTCGAGAGTGCCATTGCTTTTCTTTCTCGTACTTGTTTTCCCGCGCGCCTTCTCGTCCGCTTCGGCGGCAGCTTCGGTCCAGATCACGTCCTCCAGGGTGCCCCATTCATTCGACTTCTTCAACTTTCGTCGGTCAAAGGAATCGATTTGATCGAGTTTGGTAAGATCCTCCGTGGATTCATTGATGTCTTCAGGCGGCAGCGGCGCCTTACGCTTCTTTGTGCTGGTATCAGCGCTCATGTCGAGACTCTGCGCTCTCTCGAGGGTCGCCGCGGTCCTGCTTTCATACTTGGACAGGTCGCCCAAACTGGCCGCCTTTCTGTAATCCTCATCCTCGTCGTCGTCGTTTGCCTCCGGCACAGGCGTGCGATGAATGGTGATGTCCGCTGGATTCAGCTCGATCGTCGTGAAGCTGTTCTGCATCTCGTTGTCGGTATCCGATTCGGAATTGCGTCTGTTCACCACCGACTGGCTTTCCAAACGGTGCCTTCGCGCATCCGTGTTTTCGCGCGCCTTGTTCACGTAATCGCACAATGACTCCGTATAATCGGCAATACTGTCGATAGTGTCGATGGCGTCCTTCTTCGCGAGCGGCGGCATCTCGCTGATGTTGTTCCTCGGTGGCGCCGGCGCCTTCCGCTTGTTCTTCTGCGGGCTCTTGGCGCCGTCAGAGTCCGGCGACGAACTGCTAATCTTCAGCGGCTCCGAACTACTC